TTAGAAATATTCAATTTCATTTTAAATGCCATTTTTTTCTATATTGAGTTTTCCCTAATTATATCAATTCCCATGCATCCCTCCCCTGGAGAAATTTGTCTATAAAGTTGGTTAACCTATTTTTCAGCGCATAGATGAAGAATTAGTGGTGAATGAGCCCAAAGTGAGGTCTGCCATTGCACTTGGTAGAGCAATAGTAAGCGACAAACTGATAAAGGAAGAGGATTTAAAGGACGTGCAGAAAGAAATGGATGAAATGGAGGATAGATTAGAGGCCCTGAAGACAAAGAACAAACGCCACCATATCAAGTAAGATTACATCTTAACAACTTGTTGGTGCAGTGTCTGTCTTATGCCATGCCATAGAAAATATTGCCAATCAGAATGCAGGAAAACAGTTGTATATCTACGATATCCCATACTAAAACATTAGTGCATGATGCGACAATTATACAACGGCTATTCTGCTTTCTGATCTGCTAGATTGCCTATGATGATGGTAAACAGGTGATACACCATGTCATATACCACTTCCCACTAATTGTATTCTCTGGCAGTCTCCTGAAAGCTGGTGTGTGTAAAACAAAATACATTTGCAAAATGGAATATTCTATGGTATACCAAACAAAGCCAATGTCAAACTAATTAATACGTTATCAGTGTGTGTATGTGCGTGGGAGGGGGAGGGGGAGGGGGAGGGAGGTCTGCACAGAAATTTAATTCAGTAGGTATGAAGACATGGATACTTTTCAAATATTCTACCCTTAAGCAGCTACAATATAGTGGAGCAATTGAGCCAATTGTGAGAGGGCAGAATTTTCGTTGAAGAGGAATTATCTGTTAGATGTAAAATCAATATTGATTTCGTTCCTTGATCCTCATTGCCCAGTAGTTCTATATTATGATTGTAAAGAGTTTAAAGATTTCCCGTTTTACAAGAAAATAATCCTTTCGCTCCTACCTCTTGCAGATTCCACTCTGCAATGACAGAAAATATATTGCGACAAGAAGAATCAATCGAGATATCAGAAGTGAGTGAAGTACATGCTGAGTTACCTGAGAATATCGACTTGAAGCCAACTGATGAAGGATTTAGCGATGGGGAAAGTGCTGCTGACTCACAGGATGTAAGTACTGTGGGCTCATTTAACCACTCAGAGTATAGAGCAGTTTTCGTATGACTGTGAAAAGCTCATTGCCGTAAGCGGGACGTGCCGTGACCGTGATACTTTCTAGAATTTTAATTGGCTGATTTTTTTCACGCGCAATATGATTGGCTAATAGTGCCGTGATCTTGGCGTGACCGTGTCCGCGCCGTGTTCCGGGTATTTGATTGGATGGAGAGTAAATTCTCGTGCAATGTGATTGGTCTGGCGTATCCTTGCTGTGTCACGACCGTGTTCGTGCCGTGAACTTTCAGTCATACGAAAACTGCACTATGACATACATAGAATCGTACGCACACAAAAGAGAAGGTGCAGGAGAGAAGCTGTGGAAAAATAAGTGCAATCGAAGAAAACAAGGTTACAATATCCCACAGTGATCACTAACGTTTCTCATTTTGCAGAAAACTAAAAGCTACCTTGACCCAAAGTCTGTCAAGTTCCACGCAGAAAGTAAAGACATGAATCAATGGATTGACGAGTCAAATAGAATGGTCAATGAGTTCTATAAAGAAATGCACGCTAAAGATGCATGGAAAAAGCAAGAAAAGATCGAGGTTAGTGCATTGGATAGACCACGTGTCATTCTCTTGAGAATATTTTTTGTTTGAGTTTTATCTTCTCATTTTGAGTTTTTTCTTCTCATGCGCAATTGTTAAACAAAGAAATTATACAGAAGGGAATGACACGTGTTTTGAAAGGGGAACACGCACAAGTTAGACGTAATGTTTTCCCATTTCAGACCACGTGTCATTCTCTTGAGAATATTTTTTGTTTGAATTTTATCCATATTCATGTGTCTTCTCATGTGCAATTGTTGAAGAAAGAAATTTTACTCAAGGGAATGGCAAGTGTTTCGAAAGGGGAACACGCCCAAGTTAGAGGTATATTAATATGAGCGAACTTGTTTAGCAAAGCGTATACGTTACAGAATATAACGGAGCAGATTTTGTATGACCGTGTAAAAGTACGTACGTACCGTGACCGTGACGGCAAAGACAAAGCATCCTGATTGGATGAATAGTGATGTCACGCAATTTACTGGTACGACGGATGGTAAATTGCTTCACCGTGGTAACGTAACGATGCATTGAACCATTATTTTTCACTAAGACAGGCTTTAAAAAAGAAAGAAAGAAAGAAAGAAAGGAAAGAAAAAAAACGGAGAAAATTCGAGAGAGAAAAATTAGAGAAAACTGGACAAAGTAAAATGGATATTAATGACGTCAAATTCTTTAACAGAAACTATGCGGACAGAAAGAAAAAAGACAGACGAAGGTCAATTTTCTCAACAAGCTGGGAAAAGAAATAATGAACGAGTCAAGAGATAAAGAAGTATCAAAAGAGATTGAAGAAGAACTGGCTACCTTGAATAACAGGTGGTCTGACTGCCTGAGCATGTTGGAAACAGCAAAAGAAGTAGATGTGCCAAAGAAGAAGAAAGATAGCGCGTGTTGCTTGTGGGTGATCATAAGAAGAAAATTAAGAACATTGTGTGCTTACAATTAAGAACAATTATTTTTTTACAGGATTTTTTGAAAAATTCTGTCGGAAATTTTCTATAAAAATAGGTCCTTTGCAGAAAGAGGTCACGTGCTTAGATACCACTTAGCAACGCCAAACTGGAGAGCAAGCCAATAAGCCAATAAGAGGGCTTAACCCAAATTTTCACTAAATACCTTGTCTGCTCTTGAAGGGCTTCCAAGCACTGTGATTGGATAGCGTACATTTTCTCGCGTGTTGATAGGCTCACAGCGGACAAGAAAACCACTCGAGTGCTTGACAACCCAGTTAAATCTCCTCCATGCTTTGTACTCGCGATAATCTAAATTAAAGTGTTAGGGTATAACACGAATATATATGAAAAGATGGATTTAAAAATATAATATTTAAGATAACTGTATTCTGGGTTTCTCTCGCACCAGGTATAATAACTAAAATTGTTCGCAATAAATCATCCTTACAAAGATGAGTAATGAGTTATGTCTTTTCTCTTTTGAAAAAAAAAAAAGAGTAAAGTCATACTTATCTTCTAATGTATGGCAGAGGGGGGGCCGGTGAAATCTTTAAATGACAAAAAAAAATTTTTAAGACCCCCCTTGAATTCCCCCCAAAAAA